AGACAGAATTGTTACTGAGTGCCAGAGAATTGTTACTCAGGGACAGACAGAATTGTTACTGAGTGCCAGAATTGTTACTCAGGACAGACAGAATTGTTACGGAGTGCCAGAGAATTGTTACTCAGGGCCACAGAAACTTTACTTAGGGCCACAGAATTTTTACTCAGGGACAGACAGAATTGTTACTGAGTGCCAGAGAATTGTTACTCAGGGACAGACAGAATTGTTACTGAGTGCCAGAGAATTGTTACTCAGGGCCACAGAAATGTTTACTTAGGGCCACAGAATTTTTACTCAGGGACAGACAGAATTGTTACTGAGTGCCAGAGAATTGTTACTCAGGGACACATAATCGTTGAATTAAAGAGTATGTCAGACAACATGCAGAGGAGTGGCAGAGGAGGGCAATTTTTTAGGAGCGAGCAGACGTGGCAGCAGAGGAAGGGGTCGAGGCAGCACTATTCGCAGCCAGAGGCCAGTGCTCCCGGTGTCATCCAGCGGTCGTGTCTCCACCGACAACCCTGCCGTCATTGATTGGTTGGCTCGGTCGTCTTCCTCTTCCCAGGTCACCTCTGACACCTACAGCCAACGGTCGGTGGGTACGTCAGACACAACCGTTAGTTGGCATGGCCCGGGAGCAAGCCCACTGAAATCACATGTCCTCTACCTGCCCCTGTCCTTTGCTGTTCCCTCACCAAGCGAAGTATCGCATGCTGTGGGCTCAGCCCCACTGTACAGTGAGGAAGAGCTAACAGAGGGCGGTCAGGAACGGGGGGAGACATCGGCCTTTTCAGCAGCCAAGCGAAGAAGTACTGGCGAGGAGAGAGTGGCTCTGTAGCCGGTCTAGAGACAGGTCTGTCTCCTGACCCAGACGCAGCCGAGGGGGCTAGTAGTGAGGCGGAGACCTACCTGATGATGAGGAGGTTGATCGCACTTGGCTGCCTCGTCGTCATCAGGCAATTTCTTCCGCATCATCAGGAGAAGAGGGTGCCAGCTTGGCAGCGAGCGAAACAGTCGGTGGGTTGCCCAGGAGACAGCAGCAGGGTCGCATCAGTGTCAGTGGAGCCAAACGGCCACGGAGTAGAGCACCAGCTCCACTGCAGCCTACCACCACGGCCAGTAGTGGTGCCGGTGCGCACGGAGGAAGTAGCAGTCAGCCAGTGAGGAGTAGCGGGGGCAAAGTTTCCTACTCGGTGGTGTGGCAAATTTTTCCTCAAGCCGCCCGAGGAAGTAAACGTAGCCGTATGTCGACTATGTGGCCAGAAATGCAAGCGTGGCCAGGGGGCCCATGTTGGGACTACAGCGTTGCGTCAGCATATGCAGCGTCCCGTCACCATTCGGTGGCCTGGGAAAACCGTGATAAAGATACGGCGGTTCTGCCTGCCCCCCCCCCCCGCTCCATCACCCGCTCCGTTACTTGCTCCGTCACCCGACGTCGTCAATCACCCTCTATCAGCCAGTCAAGGCTCCAACACCTCTGCTGAGGGGAGTTGTCGCTCGTTGGCATCTTCCGCTCGTTCAGATGCTCCTTCTCCTGCTACTCCTCTTCTCGGATTCCGTCAACAGTCTTTCTTGGAATCCGTATCCAAGAGACAACAGTTTGCGAGCACGCACCCGACGGTGCAAAAGCTGAACGTCCTCCTGTCCAAGTTGCTGGTGCTGCAGTCCCTCCCTTTCCAACTGGTGGACTCAGCACCTTTCCGAGAAATGATGGCTTGTGCCGCCGCGGTGGAGAGTGCCAAGCCGTCATTTCTTTGCCCAAAAGGCAGTGCCAGCCCTGCATTCACATGTAGAAGAGATGGTGGGCCAGTCTTTGAGCATGTCGGTCTCTGCCAAAGTGCACGGCAGCGCCGACGTGTGGAGCTGTAACTACGGTCAGGGACAGTACATGTCATTTACGGCCCACTGGGTGAACGTGGTGCCGGCACAGCCGCACCAGCAACTTGGACAGGTCACGACGCTTTTGCCTCCACGTTTGCACGTCCTTGGTCCAGCAAGCATGTCCGCCTCTACCACCTCTTTTTCCGCCGTGTCCTCAGCCGCCACCCCCCCCCCGTGCCAAGTCCCATTACCCGACCGGCATATCACATGTGCAGGGCGCAACGGTGTCACGCTGTGCTGCACCTGGTATGCCTTGGCGAACGTAGTCACACAGGGGAGGAACTGCTGAGTGTAATGAACAGAGAAATCGACAGATGGCTGTCTCCGCGCAAACTAAAAATCGGAACCATGTTGACTGACAACGGAAAGAACATGGTGTCTGCTCTGCGTCAAGGAAGGTTGTGCCATGCGCCATGCATGGCTCACGTGTTCAATCTGGTTGTCAAGCGGTTCCTAAAATCCACCATCCCACTGCAAGACATCCTTAAAATGTCACGTAAACTGTGCATGCATTTCAGCCATTCCTACACCGCAAAGAACACCCTCATTGAGCTGCAGCGGCAGAACGGAATTCCACAGCATCGCCTGATCTGCGACGTTGCAACAAGGTGGAATTCAACCCTACACATGTTAGACCGCCTTTACGAGCAGCGAAAGGCCATCACCGATTTCCTGATGTTACAAGCGGATAAAGGTACTCCCCTGTGTAACTTAGATGTCAGCCATTGGCAGCTCATGCGTGACACCTGCCGCTTGCTCAGGCCCTTTGAGGAGGCCACGCTATTCGTGAGTCGGCAGGACTATGGGATGAACGACGTCATTCCTCTGTTGCACGTCCTGGAACAAATGCTGTTAACAATGGCTGGTCAGGGTGCGGTAGACGTGGCGCACAGATCTCAACGCCACATGACCCCTGGGGGGCAGGACAGGAAGAAGAGGAGGAGGTAGAGGAGGACATTTGTGCTCAGGAATTATTGAGTGAAATGGGTGGTTTTTTCCACTCAGCGGACAGGAGTGGAGGAGCAGGAGCATCTGGTAGAGGAGGAGGAGGAGGAGACAGAGGACCCAGACGCACCGTGGCAGTATGCTGTGAGATGGAGGCAGGGAGTCCCTCGCATTCCTTGGCACAAATGGCCCATAGCATGCTCGGTTGCTTGCGTAGCGACAGCCGAATAATAACCATCAGACAGAGGGATGACTTTTGGCTGTCCACCTTGTTGGACCCTCGCTACCGGTCCAAAATGGTGGCCTTTTTCACACCTGCTGAGAGGGAGGCCAAAATTACGTACTATAAAAACCACCTATGTAGTCAGTTGGTCTCTGCCTTTGTGCGCCAACGTCCATCCTCAGACACTGTGGGCCCTGTGCGCTCGCGTTCCGCTGGCATGGCAGCAGGGGAGGGGTGGGGTGGTAGGAGCAGTGGCAGCTCCACCAGCAGCGGCTGCCTCAGTCTGCAGTCGATGATGAGTAGCTTTTTCTTCACCAGCGCAGTGAGGAAACTACTAACCAGCAGCAGCAGCAGCAGCAGCAGCATCAGGTGGACCTGGAGCAGGAGCTCAAACAACAGGCTGGGCCTACTTGGACAGCACCCTGCCAACCGAGGTAGACAATCCCCTTGACTACTGGGCAACGAAACTTGACCTTTGGCCCCAACTAGCTGAATTTGCCCTTGAAAGGCTGTCATGCCCGGCCAGTAGCGTGGCATCGGAGCGCGTGTTTAGTGCGGCAGGAGTATTGTAACTCCGCGGAGGACACGACTGTCCACCCAAAGTGTGGAGAGACTCACGTTTGTGAAAATGAATCAGGCGTGGATTAGTCTGGATTTCAAACCACCAGTTCCTGACACAACTGACTAAATCCGCCATGAATCATGCCTCAAACATGTGCCACTTTCAGGTCTCCTCCTCACACTGCTGGTTGAATTTTTTGACATAGGTGCTGGCAGATTACGGGCCTCCTATAGCTGCTGCCAGGCCCCTAATCTGCCATAGGCCCCTATATACCGCCTCCTCATGCTGCTGCCAGTCCAGAGTCTCTCATGGGTCCCTGTACGGCCCTCCCATTGCTGCTGTCTCCATCGCCACACTCTGCTGCCATGTGCCACTTTCAGGTCTCTTCACACTGCTGGTGTGTGTTAAATTTTTTGACATAGGGTGCAGGCAGATTACGGGCCTCACATAGCTGCTGCTGCCAGGCCCCTAATCTGCCATGGGCCCCTATATACCGCCTCCTCATGCTGCTGCCAAGTCCAGAGTCTCTCATGGGTCCCTGTACGGCCTCCCATTGCTGCTGTCTCCATCGCCACACTCTGCTGCCATGTGCCACTTTCAGGTCTCTTCACACTGCTGGTGTGTTAAATTTTTTGACATAGGGTGCAGGCAGATTACGGGCCTCACATAGCTGCTGCGCCCCTAATCTGCCATGGGCCCCTATATACCGCCTCCTCATGCTGCTGCCAAGTCCAGAGTCTGTCATGGGTCCCTGTACGGCCTCCCATTGCTGCTGTCTCCATCGCCACACACTGCTGCCATGTGCCACTTTCAGGTCTCTCTTCACACTGCTGGTGTGTTTAAATTTTTTGACATAGGGTGCAGGCAGATTACGGGCCTCACATAGCTGCTGCCCAGGCCCCTAATCTGCCATGGGCCCCTATATACCGCCTCCTCATGCTGCTGCCAAGTCCAGAGTCTGTCATGGGTCCCTGTACGGCCTCCCATTGCTGCTGTCTCCATCGCCACACTCTGCTGCCATGTGCCACTTTCAGGTCTCTTCACACTGCTGGTGTGTTAAATTTTTTGACATAGGGTGCAGGCAGATTACGGGCCTCACATAGCTGCTGCCAGGCCCCTAATCTGCCATGGGCCCCTATATACCGCCTCCTCCTCATGCTGCTGCCAAGTCCAGAGTCTGTCATGGTCCCTGTACGGCCTCCCATTGCTGCTGTCTCCATCGCCACACTCTGCTGCCATGTGCCACTTTCAGGTCTCTTCACACTGCTGGTGTGTTAAATTTTTTGACATAGGGTGCAGGCAGATTACGGGCCTCACATAGCTGCTGCCAGGCCCCTAATCTGCCATGGGCCCCTATATACCGCCTCCTCATGCTGCTGCCAAGTCCCAGAGTCTGTCATGGTCCCTGTACGGCCTCCCATTGCTGCTGTCTCCATCGCCACACTCTGCTGCCATGTGCCACTTTCAGGTCTCTTCACACTGCTGGTGTGTTAAATTTTTTGACATAGGGTGCAGGCAGATTACGGGCCTCACATAGCTGCTGCCAGGCCCCTAATCTGCCATGGGCCCCTATATACCGCCTCCTCATGCTGCTGCCAAGTCCAGAGTCTCTCATGGGTCCCTGTACGGCCTCCCATTGCTGCTGTCTCCATCGCCACACTCTGCTGCTGCATGTGCCACTTTCAGGTCTCTTCACACTGCTGGTGTGTTAAATTTTTTGACATAGGGTGCAGGCAGATTACGGGCCTCACATAGCTGCTGCCAGGCCCCTAATCTGCCATGGGCCCCTATATACCCGCCTCCTCATGCTGCTGCCAGTCCAGAGTCTCTCATGGGTCCCTGTACGGCCTCCCATTGCTGCTGTCTCCATCGCCACACTCTGCTGCCATGTGCCACTTTCAGGTCTCTTCACACTGCTGGTGTGTTAAATTTTTTGACATAGGGTGCAGGCAGATTACGGGCCTCACATAGCTGCTGCCAGGCCCCTAATCTGCCATGGGCCCCTATATACCCCGCCTCCTCATGCTGCTGCCAAGTCCAGAGTCTGTCATGGGTCCCTGTACGGCCTCCCATTGCTGCTGTCTCCATCGCCACACTCTCTGCCATGTGCCACTTTCAGGTCTCCTCACACACTGCTGGTGTGTTAAATTTTTTGACATAGGGTGCTGGCAGATTACGGGCCTCCATAGCTGCTGCCAGGCCCCTAATGCCATGGGCCCCTATACCGCCTCCTCATGCTGCTGCCAAGTCCAGAGTCTGTCATGGGTCCCTGTACGGCCTCCCATTGCTGCTGTCTCCATCGCCACACTCTGCCATGTGCCACTTTCAGGTCTCTTCACACTGCTGGTGTGTTGAATTTTTTGACATAGGGTGCTGGCAGATTACGGGCCTCCTATAGCTGCTGCCAGGCCCCTAATCTGCCATGGGCCCCTATATACCGCCTCCTCATGCTGCTGCTGCTGCCAAGTTCAGAGTCTGTCATGGGTCCCTGTACGGCCTCCCATTGCTGCTGTCTCCATCGCCACACTCTGCCATGTGCCACTTTCAGGTCTCCTCACACTGCTGGTGTGTTGAATTTTTTGACATAGGGTGCTGGCAGATTACGGGCCTCCTATAGCTGCTGCCAGGCCCCTAATCTGCCATAAGCCCCTATATACCGCCTCCTCATGCTGCTGCCAAGTCCAGAGTCTGTCATGGGTCCCTGTACGGCCTCCCATTGCTGCTGTCTCCATCGCCACACTCTGCCATGTGCCACTTTCAGGTCTCCTCACACACTGCTGGTGTGTTGAATTTTTTGACATAGGGTGCTGGCAGATTACGGGCCTCCTATAGCTGCTGCCAGGCCCCTAATCTGCCGTAGGCCCCTATATACCGCCTCCTCATGCTGCTGCCAGGTCCAGAGTCTCTCATGGGTCCCTGTACGGCCTCCCATTGCTGCTGTCTCCATCGCCACACTCTGCCATGTGCCACTTTCAGGTCTCCTCACACTGCTGGTGTGTTCCATTTTTTGTCATAGGGTGCTGGCAGATTATGGGCCTCCCATAACTGCTGCCAGGCCCCTAATCTGCCATGGGCCCCTATACCGACTCCTCATGCTGTGACGTTGCAACAAGGTGGAATTCAACCCTACATATGTTAGACCGCCTTTACGAACAGCAAAAGGCCATCACAGATTTCCTGATGTTAAAAGCAGATAAAGGTACTCCCTGTGTAACTTAGATGTCAGCCATTGGCAGCTCATGCGTGACACCTGCGCTTGCTCAGGCCCTTTGAGGAGGCCACGCTATTCGTGAGTCGGCAGGACTATGGGATGAACGACGTCATTCCTCTGTTGCACGTCCTGGAACAAATGCTGTTAACAATGGCTGGTCAGGGTGCGGTAGACGTGGCGCACAGATCTCAACGCCACATGGCCCCTGTGGGGGCAGGACTGGAAGAAGAGGAGGAGGTAGAGGAGGACATTGGTGCTCAGGAATTATTGAGTGAAATGGGGGTGGTTTTTCCACTCAGCGGACAGGAGTGGAGGAGCAGGAGCATCTGGTAGAGGAGGAGGAAGAGGAGACAGAGGACCTAGACGCACCGTGGCAGTATGCTGTGGAGATGGAGGCAGGGAGTCCCTCGCATTCCTTGGCACAAATGGCCCATAGCATGCTCGGTTGCTTGCGTAGCGACAGCCGAATAATAACCATCAGACAGAGGGATGACTTTTGGCTGTCCACCTTGTTGGACCCTCGCTACCGTTCAAAATGGTGGCCTTTTTCACACCTGCTGAGAGGGAGGCCAAAATAACGTACTATAAAAAACACCTATGTAGTCAGCTGGTCTCTGCCTGTCTGCGCCAACGTCCATCCTCAGACACTGTGGGCCCTGTGCGCTCGTGTTCCGCTGCCATGGCAGCAGGGGAGGGGTGGGGTGGTAGGAGCAGTGGCAGCTCCACCAGCAGCGGCTGCCTCAGTCTGCAGTCGATGATGAGTAGCTTTCTTCACCAGCGCAGTGAGGAAACTACTAACCAGCCGCAGCAGCAGCAGCAGCATCAGGTGGACCTGGAGCAGGACCTCAAACAACAGGCTTAGGCCTACTTGGACAGCACCCTGCCAACCGAGGTAGACAATCCCCTTGACTACTGGGCAACGAAACTTGACCTTTGGCCCCAACTAGCTGAATTTGCCCTTGAAAGGCTGTCATGCCCGGCCAGTAGCGTGGCATCGGAGCGCGTGTTTAGTGCGGCAGGAGGTATTGCAACTCCGCGGAGGACACGACTGTCCACCCAAAGTGTGGAGAGACTCACGTTTGTGAAAATGAATCAGGCGTGGATTAGTCTGGATTTCAAACCACCAGTTCCTGACACAACTGACTAAATCCGCCATGAATCATGCCCCAAACATGTGCCACTTTCAGGTCTCCTCACACTGCTGGTGTGTTCCATTTTTTGTCATAGGGTGCTGGCAGATTACGGGCCTCCCATAGCTGCTGCCAGGCCCCTAATCTGCCATGGGCCCCTATACCGCCTCCTCATGCTGCTGCCAAGTCCAGAGTCTCTCATGGGTCCCTGTACGGCCTCCCATTGCTGCTGCCTCCATCGCCACACTCTGCCATGTGCCACTTTCAGGTCTCCTCACACTGCTGGTGTGTTCCATTTTTTGTCATAGGGTGCTGGCAGATTACGGGCCTCCCATAGCTGCTGCCAGGCCCCTAATCTGCCATGGGCCCCCTATACCGCCTCCTCATGCTGCTGCCAGGTCCAGAGTCTCTCATGGGTCCCTGTACGGCCTCCCATTGCTGCTGTCTCCATCGCCACACTCTGCCATGTGCCACTTTCAGGTCTCCTCACACTGCTGGTGGGTTCCATTTTTTGTCATAGGGTGCTGGCAGATTACGGGCCTCCCATAGCTGCTGCCAGGCCCGTAATCTGCCATGGGCCCCCGTACCGACTCCTCATGCTGCTGCCAGGCCGTAATCTGTCATGGGCCACTGTTGTCGCTTGTTGGCATATTCCGCTCGTTCAGATGCTCCTTCTCCTGCTACTGCTACTCCTCTTCACGGATTCCGTCAGCAGTCTTTCTTGGAATCCGTTTCCAAGAGACAACAGTTTGCGAGCACGCACCCGACGGTGCAGAAGCTGAACGTCCTCCTGTCCAAGTTGCTGCTGCCAGGCTCGTAATCTGTCATGCGCCCCTGTACCGCCTCCTCATGCTGCTGCCAGGTCCAGAGTGTGTCATGGGCCCCCGTACCGACTCCTCATGCATGCTGCTGCCAGGCCCGTAATCTGTCATGGGCCCCTGTACCGCCTCCCCATGCTGCTGCCAGGTCCAGAGTGTGTCATGGGTCCCTGTACGGCCTCCCATTGCTGCTGCCAGGCCCGTAATCTGCCATGGGCCCCTGTACCGACTCCTCATGCTGCTGCCAGGCCCGTAATCTGTCATGGGCCCCTGTACCGCCTCCTCATGCTGCTGCCAGGTCCAGAGTGTGTCATGGGTCCCTGTACGGCCTCCCATTGCTGCTGTCTCTATCGCCACACTCTGCCATGTGCCACTTTCAGGTCTCCTCACACTGCTGGTGGTTTCCATTTTTGTCATAGGGTGCTGTATGGCCTCCCATTGCTGCTGCCTCCACCGCCACACTGTGGCTCCACACTCTGGTTTTGGCCCCGTGACTGCCCAAATGAGTGAAGTGTGCGGTGATTCTAAGATCGACGGCACTCATCTGCATGTCATACTGACTGACAGTATTATTTCTCTTCCCCAGCAGACTCCAAGGGCATTTAAATTAAAGGTACAGTGTTCTGCACTAATATTAAGTCTCTCTGAAGCCTAGAAACACCCTTTTTTAAGTTAAATTCACAGCGAATTTATTCGACTCGAATCGAATATTGTCCACGAATTCGCCGAATCAGTCGAATCGAATTTTTCATTTCTTCGCTCTCTGGTTGGCTACACTGC